GAAAACTGGGTAGCTATTGGGTACAAGAGGTGAGGTTTGTAAGCAGGAGAATGGCATAATGTTATTTCCATTATTCAAAGTGTATGTGCTATTTGAAGAGCAACAGTGGATAGAATGAAGCAAGAAAATGAAGTCAATTTGTTTTGGTTTGGTTTTCAAAATTTCTAGCTGTGGCCTGGGGTCTGGAGTGTGGTAGGAAGAGACATAGGAAGCGGGGCAGCCAGAGTGGAAGAACCTTGTAATAAATTTGGAAAGTGGTATGGATTTGAGGATGGAGCCCAGATAGTGCCTTTAGATTACAAGGAAAGAGATAAGGTTATTTAGAGATGACTGTGCTTATAATTGTAAAATAAACCTACTGTGCTTTTTATTCATAAATACATGAACTCATTTACCACCACACCCAGTGAAATAGGTATGTAGACTTATATTTCTTGCAGAAAAACTAGAAAGTCTCATGACCTTCATGAAATTTAGTAAATGCAATTTTTAAATATTCAGCAAAGTAAATGGCAAGGCCAGAATTACCTCAATCTATATGCACTTTAAAGCCCTAGATTTTTTCCCCCAGGTCAATATTAGCAAATAAAGTGTCTTGAAACTATAATTCTAAATAATAATATTATATTCACAAATATAAAATACATAATTTATCTAATTACATTAACATTTATTTTGTTTCTACAATTTTGCTACCTAAAATGTTTCTTGAATTCTTAGATTCCTAGAATCTTCAGACATTATGGCTACTTTTAAAGTTCTGGACATATAATATCCAGTTATTTTCTGGAAAGTTTGTGCCATTTACTCTCTCACTTAACCCAAACCAACATTAAATATTTTTCATCTTTTCCAATTTGATAGGTACAATTTTAAATTCATTAACTTCATCATTAATTCATACTTCCTTAATTACTAATGAGGTTAAATGCTTTCTTACACGTTCATTCATTTTCTTAAATTCCTTTTTTGAATTACCTATTTATTTAATTTTCCACTTTAACTCACTATATAATGTTAGTATTTTTTCTGGTAATTTGAAAGACCTTGTATAAGAAAGATAGTGAGGCTGTCTTTGTCAACTTCTGCCAACAGTTCCCTAGAATGTCTTGATGACTTTTACTTTGTCTTTTCGCAACTGTTGATTAAACCCAGAACTTTGCCCTGAGCTATACACCCAGGTCTTTTTTATTTTTTATTGTGAGACAGGATCTCATCAAGTCACTAAGTGACATTAAGTCACACAAGTACAAGGCTAGGCTGGTACTTGCAGTCCTCTTGTCTCAGCCTCTCAGAGTGCTAGAATTACAAGCATGTGCCACGTGCCTACTTCACACTCAATTTTTAAAATTTCTTTAGTGTAAAAATATAACACACACAGAGGTTGTGTTCCAGTTGTATCTGCTGCATGACAAGTTACATCAAAACCTAGCAGCTTAAAACAATTAACATTTTTATGTTACAAGTTTATAACTCAGCCATTCAGGCAGAAAGGTGTGGGAGGTTTCCCCTGATCTGCTAGCTGGTATGAACTAGGACTCCAGGACCCCACTCTTTAGTGCCCTGGCAAGGACAGAAGAAGGCTGCGCTTTGCCCTTGCGTCGTCAACTGGAACACTTACCTGTGGGGATCACCTACATGTGGCTTCCTCTGCCTCGTGGCCTTAAGGGAGTCAGACTGCGCACAGGCGTGGGGAAAAGCCAGCACTCCAGGAAACGAGGCAGAATCTTCACAGTCTTTTATCACTTGTCACTGTGCTCCCTCGGTCAAAGCAGCCATCACCACCCCCAAATCCAATGAGAAGCAACACAGAAGATTCTTTGGAGCTTGTCATGCTTTAGGCCCCCGCGGGGTATAACATTTTTTTGAGAAAGAAAATGAATAGCCTTTCTCCTTTTAATTTTGTGCATGATGATTTTGTAGGTAACTATTTTTACATATTTATGAATAAAATTATCTCTTTAGTCTTTCTGGGTTCCTCCACTGCTATTTAATTTATTTTTTTAAAATCATTTTCAAAATGTCTCTCTACAAAAATCCAGGACATTATCAACTAACATATTTGGGGAAATCACTTTTTGATTTTCAGATATTTAAGTACTAGATGTTGCGGTTCCACTCATTCAATTCTTAATTCTGTTCATTCTTAAATTTCCATCAGTGACACATTTGAAAATTCTCTAATAAATGTAAGTTGGGGGGAACCATACATTTGACTATACAGTTGCTGTGTAAAGAATAAAAAATGTGACTAAATAGCTCTTACTTAGCACTTTCCACATTTCTGCTCATTCTTTCAAAATAAACTGAAATACTCTTAGTTACAGATACCTGTGTAGCCAGCACTGCCCTTCATGACTTAAAGTGGTGTTTGAATGCTGAATAATTTGATTTATTTCCTAAACAGTGATTATAGCACTCTCTTACACTGTTATGAGTGGCCAAGTAAAAATTAATGTTGTTACGTTAACAGCCACAAAAAATATTTCAATTAATAATTATTTTAGAGGGTATTCTTCAGGTTTAGGAAGGAACCCCTTTTAAGCATACCTGGTAAACACACAATAAATGTTAAATGATGATGCTAATCTCGTAGTCCAAAAATGGCAGCTGAGGTATCTGGATCTTTCCTGTAAATCCAAAATTGAATTCTAAAAAAAAAAAAAAAAAAAAAAAAAAATCTACCTAAATACAAATCTGTAACTGCTGTCTAGAAAGAAGTAAATTGAATTAGATAATGTACACCTGGTAACGATCCTCAGCATTCTATTTATCTTGTGTATCTTTTCATGATACATAAAAAGAAAAACTAATTTTTGGAAGAAGAGAACACTGGAAAAAATCATTGTCTAATACATCATCATGAGGGCAAGGGTTGTATCCAGTTTATTTTCAACACTCAGCACTCAGCATTGTGCCTTGCTCAATAAATATTTATTAAAGGATATGAGAAGAGGCACAAAAAGTATTTATCAGCCCCTTCCTGATATCTGATCAGAATCTGGAGTTTAAAAAAATAATCTACAAAGTTATGTTTCATGGAGGCACCTGTGTCTGTGGAGTACCTCTTTCACATATATCTGATATCTGCCAGTCTTCTGCAATGAGTCCAAGCACACAAGCAGTACACTGGAAATGTCAAACTCTTGAGTCCATTTACTGTCCCTGAACTTCACTGTTAGAGATATTCTGAGATCCCATGGCTTTCCAGAGATGGAAAATTCTCAGATCACCTATGGCTAACCTGAACTTGTGTTTGAATATCCACAAGTTGAGCCAAAGTTCAGAATGTACTGTATCTACCCTTTGGGCCTGAATAAACATGGTGCAGGCTTCAAATGGAGGCCACTTGTCAGAGCCTCACCCTTGAGCTTTGGAGACACTAGAGTCTTACAGATATTCAGTAGACAGAAGACATATATCTCATGTTGAGTACCAAACACAGAGGAACTCTAGAACTACATTCTCCAGGGTGAAAGCTTGTAGCCTCTGGTCCTTTACTTAAATAAATTGAAATTAAGGAAAGTGGAAAATTCAGCTCTTCAATCACACTGGCCATATTTCAGGTGTTAAATAGCCACATGGGACAAGTGTCTGCCTACTGAACGATAAAAATAGAGAATATTTGCCTTACAACAGGCTATTGCATCAGACAATTCTGTTCCAAACTGTACTGCTTATATCACACTGCAAATCACCTAACCTGGATTCCCAATGCTGCACTCAAATATTTTTATTTAATTTGCTAGCGTTGTTCCTGTTCAAACCTTAACAGACCAAAACAAAATAGGCATTTTACTCCAAACACAGAATTAAGTTTCTGAAATTCAGTATAAGTAAGGAGAAATCCCACTTGATTTATAAACTGTCTAGATGATAGAAAATTTATAAAGTATAAAAATATTTCACTAGTTAAATCATATCAAAGGTTCAAACACAGTCTGAAAATGTTGTCAAACTATAGTCCTATCAAAGTTAATTTGACAAATAACTAAGAATAATTTCTGGGCTAGGGATATAGCTCAGCAGCACAAGTGCCTGCCTAGCAAGTGCAAGGTCCTGAGTTCAATTTCCAGTACCAAAAAAAAAAAAAAAACAGTAATAATTTCTAACTCAAATATTGTTGTGTACAAATTGGGTGGAAAACATGTTCAAAAAGTTCACTTTTCTCGAATAAACCTGTTTTCTTCCTGAGATAGTCTTTCCTCAAATTTGCTTCCTCTATAGCAGATGCCAAAATCCTCTCAAAATTGTCCCAACTGTATACTGACGAAAATTGAATGAATGAAAATCTGGTGTATAACCATGAAAAATAATAAAAATATATACTCCATTTTCTATGTGAATGAAATTTATGCATGTGGTAGGTGTTAATCAGATTTCCACGACCATAACAGATACCTGAGAGAAGCGATATAAAAAGAGGACATGGTGTGTTTTGGCTCACCACTGGAGAGGGCTCGGCCTGTGGTCGGCTGGCCCTGCTCCTCTGGGCCTGGAGTGATACAGTACGTCGTGGTGAGAGCCAGCGGTTAAGAAAACCTGCTCACCTCATGGCAACTAGGAAGCAAGAGCAGAGGACGGCCAGGGTCTCAGTAACTCCGTGAAGTACTTGCCCGGAGTGAATTCTTCTCCACCAAGCACAGTTCACAAGATCCCACCACCTCCCAGCGGGGCCACAGGCTAGCAACAAGGCTTTAGAAACACACGGACCCGAGGAGCCACTCCAGACCCTGACCACAGCGATGTATGTGTAAAAATAAGCAAGTGCACACCTGACTCCCCAGAGACAAAAACTATTAGCTCCTAAGTGGTGGACAAGGCCTCCATTATATCCTCAATGTGCAATTGAATTTCGGTAAATAATAGCATTTTTATTGAAGTATGGATTTCTGCATTTCTACTGTGTAATTTCTCCTCTGATCCAGAGCAATGCACTTTGATGATAATTCTGCTTCTGACTACATTTCCAGTTGAGTAAAAGTATCTTCTTTTCCCAGAAGCTGTCCTGGAAGCCAAGCAACATCCAGTGAAGACGCAGAAAGCAGCCCCAGGGGCGCCGCAGAAAGGCACAGGCACGGACACGGGTCCTCAGTTCTGACGGGCAGCCGAGTTTAAATGTAAGTAGCAGCAGCAGTGGCGGGCAGGGGCCGCGCTGTGGGGTGGCCCACGGGGGAAGCAGCCCGTCACCGTCCAGGGCCACACGGGCACGTGGCGGCACACGTCCAGCCTGCCCGCACATCCTGTTACCCTGCCTCCCAACTTATCTGCATTGCTGCAAGAGACTTGAGATCACTGTTACTAAGTTTTTTTTAATCCCTCAGAGTAATATACATGTGCTGAGTATGATCCTAGCTGATTTTTAAGCCCAGGCATGTTGAAATAGAGTCTTAAAATAATCATTTCCATTGAACCTGACTAGGTATCCAAATGTTCACCAGATGCTAGCAGCTAGATTTTGCAGGGAAAAATTGCTAACTTAAGCTTCTTTTCATGATTCAGCAAAGGATTTCAAGTAATAAAAGATTTGGAGATTTGTAAAATAAATAATTCCAGTACAAATGGGAAAATTAAAATAATCTTATCATCTCCCAGACATGTCTGCATGTGTTTTTGTGCTATTATCATATTTCTCTTAATTGAGCCAATTTTCTTCCAGCTGATACTTTATAGTTTTAAGTTATGAGCTGTAATGAAGAAGTGATTCCTTTCAGATGACTGAAGTGATAGGTACTAAAATTTCCTAAAGACAGTCTAAGATGCACGAAATAGAACATGATATAACAAATATAGTTTTATTCATATGTGATACTGAATATATCCACAGTGAAAACTAACAGAATATTAGAGTCTCTTGAATTCCGTAACTGATGTCTCAACAGAGGCAATAAAAACATAAAGTACATCATTAACTTTTGAACTTTGATGGGAAAAAACTACAACATACCATCCATTTCTGAGAAGCAGACATTATCTCAGAGTACCCACAGCCATCCTATGCTTATTACTATTGCCTGGTTTTAAGTGTGACTTTTAGACACATGACTCAAAATTTCCTACTATATACTACTACAACGGCTCTTTATAGCTTGTTTGATTTTATTTCAAAATTGAAAAAATAAATTGCTGAGACTCCTCCGATTTTTGTGTTCTCGCTAGGGTGCACCTGAACAAAAGGCAAACAACCTCTCTCAGGATAGTCAACGCCGTGTGGCCACATCCTGTCTCCAACAGCTGCCCCCAACCTTTCTGGCACAGGGACAGGTTTCACGGGGTGGGGGTGAGCGTGCTCTGAATGAATCAAAGGAATGCACAACCTAGGTCTCCCTGATGTGAAGTTCACGGTACGGCTCACACTCCTGTGAGAACCTAGCATTGCAGCGGATCTGCGGGAGCCAGAGCTCTGGAGTAAGGCGAGCAATGGGGAGCAAGTGTAACAGACTCTGAGCTTCGCCTGCTGACCTCCTGCTGCACAGTCGGGTTCCTAACAGCCCCGGGGCCGGGGCGGGGACCCCTGGTGCAGAATGAATCCATTCAGAGTTCTCGGAGAAACGTAAACACTGCACATTAATGGTGTTACTAAGGCAGTACATTTGTAGTATATATACCACCAATTATTTTGGCTGGCTTCCCTCAAAGTCAGATATTCTCCAAATGAAATATTTATAATGAAAAATCATTAAATAAAAAGTACATGCTTATTTAGACGGCAGGTTATGGGACTCAAGCTGATCAAGGATTTCGGAGAAGGTGATGAAAGACACATGCCACAGGTTCCACTCACAGTGTCAGGACGCAGCTCTGAGCTTAATCCAGAAAAGCTCTGTAGCTATTGTAACCAACAGGTTCAGCTTCTGGGCTTCGTGTAACAAAATCTTGCTGCCAAGGGCATTGATAGGTTCACCCAATAAAAAGTTACAATAATAATGTTCAACGAAATCATAAAAATGCAAATGACGGTTCTTCCAGTGCAGAAGGGAGGAACCGCTATGAAGCTATAGTAAAATATCAAAAATGTCTCGTTGAACTTGTTAAAAATTAAGCTATTTGTTTTTGAACTAAGGGGCAAAGGTAATAAAATGTAAAAGTCACTCAATAAACTATTTCATTCAATAATCAACAGCAGTGATTCAGCACATGAAAACAAACATTACATGTATTCCGTGTGGTCATTAATTCTGAAGCTTAAATAGAGTTTTCAAGTGAAAATAATCAGTAAAAGTTATTTTACAGAATTTTGATTAAGAAGAAAGTAAAGAACTTTTTAAATATATTTCTTCTTCTTTGTGAAAATGAACTGGGCTCATACTTAAATATTTTATGTAGTTTTAAGTTTTATGAAGTTCATTTGACACAAATGCAGAAAATAATCCAAAAAATTAAATATGAATATCATAATAGGCATATAATTACAGAAATAAAAACAGGTCATAACTAATCCTTTTTATGCTCTCTGAAAGTACAGATATAACTTTTTAATTTTTTTTAATAATCTAGAAGTCCTTTCCAGATCACATTTTACCTTCCAAAAATATACATTCCTCATTCATATATGATGGATATTTTGGTAGAAATAGGTCTTATTTTTCTCCGTTGAATAATGTATATACCTAAGTGACAATTACAGAAACAAACTCCTTTTGAACATTAAAATATGTAATGTGCCTTACATGTTGTAAGTACTAAATAACATGGATTGGATTGAATTATTCCCACATTAATGTGTCACTGGATTCACACTAGAGAGGCAGTGTCTTGCATATAGGAATTAATGATCTCTATCTGTAACCAAAAATCTCCATGGGAAACCTACTAAACTGATCAGCAACTGGTTCATTAACCCAGCCCACTATAGAAGGGCTTTCTTGTGGGTGTACTATGTTTTGGAGATAAATAAAGTAGGGAAACCACAGTTCAATTTAACAGTTGTTAAAGAACATGGGGTTTTATATTATATGACAGCAATAAAGTCCAAGCTTTGATGGCGGTAATTCTGAGTATATATGTTTATAAATAGTGTGATTTTACTGTAGAACATTATGGCAGTGGCCCAAAAGACCCGAACTGCTCAACGTGAAATTTACTTCTTATTGCCGTGCTCATCTTTCCTCAATTTTTAAAATAAAAGGACTTTAAAAATAAAAACTAGCTGAGTATAAACAGCCCTTAGCTGAAGCAGGTGGCTAGAAGCCAGAAGCCCCAGACCCTATCACTGACTGCGCTACCAACTTGGAACGTGGCCTGGGACAGCTCAGGGAGTAAATCCACAGTAAAGGAGGCAGTGAGGCCTTCCGTGTGGATGGCGCCTTACGGTTTAACAGAGCACTTTTTCACATACGCTATCTTACTTCCCGCCCCATAGCCTCCAGAGAAGAGTATGCTAGGCATTTGAGATCAAGAAAGGAAATCATGTGCTCATAGTCATATCAGCATCAAATGTCAGAGCCAGGAGCAGATACATTCTAAGGTTCTGAGCGGACTTTTTTCCTACTCTACACCACGGCCCTGTTCTCTGGACTCCCCTACTGAGCAAAAGCGGGAATTACTACGGTGGTATTGCCCCCGCGGGGTGGCCGACCCCAGCCACGCACCGGACATGTGGTCAGAGTTCATGGAGATGCGCTGTGCTGAACTTCTACGGCTTGGAACTTTAAAAATGCAAACATTGCATTAATACTTTTTACACTGATTGCATGGTAAAATGATATTTTCAATATACAGAGTCAAATAAAATTAATACATGCAAATTAATGTATAATTAAATATAAATCAATAAGACTAATTTCACCTCTTTACTTTTTTAATGTGGCTAATAGAAAATATACAGTTACATATGTGTCTTACATCATGTTTTTATAGGACAGTGCTAGACTATGGAATTCTACTGTTCAGTACCCACAGTACTGACTTGACATTACTGAATATTTGGAATTGATTCCATTCTATTAATTTGAGCTCCATAAGTATTTGTTTAGAAAGTGTAACAGGCCAGGAATAGTTCTAGACACTGCAAAATATTGATTGGAGTTCTGCCCCCAAAAGCACACAAATCGGTAGCTTGTGAACATGGTTATCTTTTTGTTTTTGTTTTTTGAGACAGTGTCTCACTTTGTAGCCCAGGCTGGCCTCAAACTCACCCTGATCCTCCTGCCTCAGCCTCCTGTGTGTTGGGATTATAGGCATACACCACCACACCCAGCAATGCTTTTGAAAAATGTATACTTATAAACAACAGTTAACAAAGGAGAGGTTCTGCCATGTTCTAAAAGAAATCTTTATGGTACTATTCCTCGGTGCATTAAAACTTACTTATTGTTTATAAAGCAAAGATCTCAAGCGAAAGCATCATGAACTTTCAATTTCAGAGGTTTGCTTTCCTCTATACGTTACACCCATACATGACTAAACACTGACAAGACTATTTAAAGATTAAATGGGCAAGAAAGTGGACTGAAACTACCTTAAATCTTTTCTGGAACAAGCAGAAGTGAAAACAGATAAAAAGAGATGAGAGTCAGAATGGTGTGGACAACTACAAAATAATGAAGACCAAAGAGTTTTATAAATTTTCATAGAGGAATAATTATGTTACCTTTGAAGGTACAGATTTAAAATAATGTATATATGCTAAAATACATTAATTTTAAAAGATTTAAAAATAGAACGTACACACATTGCCAATTTCTTAGTGGTCATGCTTACCTAGAATAGAATTTTTAGTATTAACAACAGCCAATTCTAAGTAGCAGAATTTTAGGTAGTTCTATGTCCTTATTTATACTTTTAGGTAAAATTTTGAAAATGAACAGAAGTAAATTGAAGCATTATTGTAATTGACTAAAAAGTTGATTGCAAGTGAGAAAGACTAACTGTTCAGAGTGGTAAAATACAAATGTTCTCAATCACAAAGTTTTAAAAACTAATAATAATATGCTTTAAATACTTTTCCTAGACTTTATGGCTTGTTCTTTCAAAATAAATCACCCTGTAGCTTATTTGACATCTCTAGACAAGGAAGGTGAAAACTGATTTAAGTTCTCTAGATTTTCTTCAGGAAGTTTACTCTGAGCTGTGAGCACGGGTGTAGATATAGCTTGTAAGACCTGAAAGAGTTACTGTA